CCAGCTCCAGGTTGAGCTGTTGTTCAGCATCTTAGCTGTAGAGGGCAGTGTCACTGGCCCTCTGGCATCCCATGCCAGTTCTTAACCAACACACCACTCGGCCAGCCCCTCATCTTTTCTTATGGCAGAGTAGTATTCCATTGTGTATATGCACCACATCTTCTTTATCCAGTCATCTATTGAAGGACACTTTGGTTGTTTCCATGTCTTGGCCACTGTAAATAATGCTGCAATGAACTTTGGGAAAAAAATATATTTAATTATAGTTGACATTCTGTTTTATTCTACTTCAGCTTCAGGTGTAAAGTGCAGTGGTCAGGCATCTATACAATCTATGAAGTGATCCCCTTGATAAGTCCAATACCCATCTGGTACCCTACATAATCTTTACAACATTATTGATTATATTCCCCATATCATATTTCACATCCCCCGTGACTATTTTGTGACTACTTATTTGTGCTTTCTAATCCCTTCACCCTCTCCCCATCCCCCAACCCTCCCTTAAATATCTAATTAAATTTTAAAAAATAGATAATAGGTACACATGATACAAGATTTTAAAGATACAAACGGTTATACAAATAAAATCTCTCTCTTCCCAACCTTTGACCACGCAGATTCTCTTCCCACGGGCAGCCTTAGTTACTACTTCCTTGTGATTCTGTGTAGAGGTTGTCTCTACATTCACAAATATGCACGCTGTGTATGTGGACACGCATAAACACACACATTTTATACAAATGATAGCATATGAAACATACTGTTCTCCCTCCTTCCCCCCCACCCCATCCGATACTAATTTGTTTTCTATTACAACATTAAAAAGCATGTTACTAATGATATGCTAATGCAGAGACCTTCAAGTCTGGTTTTGTTGTGTTTTTGTTTGCTTATTTCTTTTTGCATCCCAACTATTTTATAATAGAACACACCTTTCCCACCCTCTTTTTTGTTTTTAATGCAATAATATTGCTTAGAGATCTCTCCATATTAGTATATGAAGAAGAGCTTCCTCCTTCTAATTTAAGTTTGTGTGGATGACTCCTAATTGATTTAACAGTCTTCCGTTGATAGTATGGACTATAATTTAACGATTTAACTTTTATTTTAGATACTTGGTATTGTCTGAGTGCTGGGGATATACTGGTGAGACAAAAAAATTAAATTCTATGAGATAGACATTAATAAAAAACCTACTCATATAAATGTAAAATAACATTTGTGATAAGTGCTAACAAGTATCTAGTAGAGGAAATTGATATATTGGGTTGTCGGCAAAGTCATGACATATTTTTTTCTCTGTTTTTCATTGCAAAAATGCGTCATGACTTTTCTAACAACCCAATAGTTTGTGTGGTGAACGATGGGTTTTCTGAAGTGATAACTGATAACTAAAGAAAGAATTATTAGTTTTACCTATATTAATGATGTCATTTTGTCCTGTGATATCTATTCTCCCATGTCTTCTGTATCTGTAAGCACTCTTTCACCAGTGCCTCTATTTCATCAGCTTTTAAATGTGCTTAAGTTTCTCGTGTATTAAACAAAACAACAAGAAAACCCTCTTTTCCAACCCACATTCCTTTCCAACTACTGCCCTTTATCTCTGCTTAGTGGTGCCTAAACTTCATGTTTCCCTGGCATATCTCTTACTCAGTTAAGACAGAAAAATTCAGGGTTACTCCTCCTCAACCTGTTCCAGTCTGGGTTATAACAGATTTCATGAAGGTCACCAATGACTTCCATGTGAAGTGAACACTTTTTAGTGTCCAATTTGCTTGACTATTCCATGACACTGCATATACCTGACAACTCTGTCTTTGAAATGTTCTCTTATCTTGGTTTTCATGACACTGTACTCTTACGGTATTTTTTTTTCTTTTACTTTTTAAAAGATTTTATTGGGGAATTGGGGGAGGGGAACAGACAGGTAGACAAATTGCTGTTTTGTTTTTCAGTCTAGTTGTGGAGGACGTTGCTTCACTGGCCCATGTTGGTATGATCATTGTGCTCTTCCTGGGTGAGGCAATCGGTCGCTGGTCATTGGTTGGCCGCTCACTTGGGGCTCACAGCAGCTCTCACTGGCTGCCAGCCACTCACGCTGGCTGCCAGCCACTCATGTAGCTTATGGCAGCCCACTGCAGCCCCGCTGCAGCTTCCGCCGTTGCCGGCAACTCATGGCAGCCCAGCTCCAAGTCGAGCTGTTGTTCATCATCTTAGCTGTAGAGGGCGCAGCGTCATTGGGCCTTAATGTTGGATCCGAACCACAGTCCTGCTGCTCAGAGCTGGTGCTCCCAAGCGAGCTCTTAACCAATTGAGCCACTCGGCCAGCCTTTATTTTTCTTTTTAAAAATCTTCTTTGCTGGCTTTTTCTTTTCTATTAAATTTTGGAGTTTCTTAAGGCTTTGTCTTAGTCTCTTTTTTCTTCCCATCAAACACACTCCAAGCAAGCTTTAGGTGATATCTGTAGATGATTCCTATACTGACCTATATTTGACCTTTCTTCTGCTATTTACACGATTATGTCCAAATGCATCTCCTATTTTTCTATTTGCTTTTTATTAGTTCAAATATACTTATTTAGGGTCCGTTATTTCCCAGGCATTGTGCTGGTGCTGGGAGTATCAAAGGTATCTCCAGTGTCATATGATCAAAATAGAATTCATGACTAATACTTCCTGCCAAAATCAAACAAGTAAACAAACAACAAAAACAGCCAAAATAAGACCTGTTCCACCTCCATGGTTCTCACTCAACTATGGAACTTGACCCAGTTCTTCTAGCCTGAAACTTTGGGACCTGTCTTGACTCCTCCTTTTATATGAGCACTACTCAAACATTATTTAGTCCAGTCCAGTCCAATCCAATCAACATCATCTAACCCAATACGATGTTACCAAGGTCTATCCATTCCACTGTCTAAGTATCTTTCCAGAGTCTTACTGCTAAGACCCTAGCCTAAGCTTCCATCACTTCTTTAGACTGCTGTGTGTCGTCCTAATTGGACTTACTGCATTCACTTTAGAACACCATCTGGCATTTTGCCACATGACTGCCAGTATGATCTTTTAAAGTGTCCCTCAATTCCTCTGTGTCAGTTTTCTTATCTGTAAAATTGGGATAATAATAGTCCTTCCCTTATAGGATTGTTGTGAGAATAAAAAGAATTATCATGTATAATGTACTTAGAATAGTGTCAGGCACTATAAGGCCTCAGTAAATTGTTATTGAGACCTTATACGATGTTACGTTAAGCCAAGGAAAAGGTGTAAGACAGAAAGAGCTTTATTAATAATAGGCTTGAGTGGAGTAATTATTAGCTTGTTTATACTTAATTGTGCTATATATGTTCACACAAAAAACCTGCAGCACTTATGTGTGACCTTATTACATATAATTATTTTCCTTACTTAAAAGGCAAAGAAGCACCAGGCCTTTCTAGTAGAAACATGTGAAAATAACGTGAAAGAATTGGAATCGATCTTGGACAGCTTTACTGTGTCGGGCCAGTGGACGTCAGGTTAGTTGAAGGTATAAAATGACAGATGCATCTGTCAATGTTCCAAAGTCACTACATTTTGGGAATTCTGCAGATGCCTCTTACAGTCCCTCATCTCAACATGTTTTGATTTGATGACATGATAAGAGCGGTCCTCACAGCAGTCAGCTGGCCTAGCTAGCTGAGAAAGGGTGATGCAATGTGGACCTGCTGTTGTCCTCCCAGAACTTGATTTACAAGTGTCGGGGTCTGTGTGATTGGACAGACAAGGGCTCACTTGCTGTGTTCTGAATCCAACTGAGAAAAAAGTCCTTACAGTATACCTGCAAGGGGAGCAGATGTTTCCATCAAACTGAGCCAAATTCCGAGGCAACCTTCAGCAACTTAAAGGTCATGCATTCGAAAGGTTATGTAGGACACAGGCTGTAACATTGCACATTCTACACTGTGGCTTTCTAAGCTGGTTTTCTTTTCCCTTTCTGATTGCAGTTATATATTCTCTCCAGATAAAAATGCTTAGGTACAATGTTTTGGTTTTAGTGTTAGCACACTTAATATGATAAAAAACGACAACAATTGTATATTAGGTAGTTAAATTTTGGGACCTAACAAAAGCATGAGTTGGCTAGTGAATACTGTCCATGATTTTTTGTGCTTATGCCATATGTGTGTGCTCTAAGTAGCTTTGGCGCAAATACTTCTACTTTTCCACTTTGGTTTTCTTTTGCCATATTATCAGCCTTGAATTATTTAGTTATTTTCTAACTCAATTATAGTCTTTAAAAAGCATGTAAAATTAAATTCCTTCCACTTTAACACTGAGCTCCAAGACTCAGTATTTTAAAAGAATCAAACAGATATTTGACAAATGAATTCTTTAGGAAACACTCAAATTTAGGAACATTTGTTGCCCTAGAAAAAGCAGAAGAATATAATCCAGGCCCATTTTTACTTGATGGACCTGCAGATTTCTATTGGTGACTATTAGAAATTTATTGTGCTTTGCTATTACCTAATTTTTGGGTCTTTTCTCTTTCATATGGTTTATCAGTAATTTTATGAAATTAATGTGTAACTTTGTTTTTATTTAAACTTTTCCCCCAAACATTAGTGTTTCATGGTTTGTTACTGTGGAAAAAATCAAGGTATTTTATTAAATGAATGTGTAACTTTGTTTTAATTTAAACTTTTCCCCAAAACATTAGTGTTTCATGGTTTGTTACTGTGGAAAAAATCAAGCTATATAAAAGTGGCATAAAATGTAGATATCAAGTTTTCAAATACATTTGATGAAGTGTTGGAGGATAAAATTTTCTTTTGCAATGGTACTATTCTGTTATTGAGTTGTACCTTGTTTAATGGTGTCAGGATTTAAAAATATTATTAAATTATTATAATAACATATTTTATGCTTCAATATTATTGTAAATATTTTTTCAGAGTTGAATTAGAAAAACTAAGTATGAGGTCATGTCTCTTTTGAGTTTTAAAATGAAATAATTGATAGCAAAACAACCCACAAGCTATTGCTAAGGCTACAGAAATATAATTTTCTTCTCGTAAAGTTTTTCTTTTTATTATTCTAGTAACCATTGTTTTTTAACTTCCTAGTTTCCCATGTACCGGAGGTGCCAAAAAAATGTATCCACATGACTTGTATTCGTCTTTTGTTATCGGTGTATATTATTACAATTTTAATATAGTTTGTTCCTTTCTTTAAATGTGTATACATTTTTTTTGGCACCCTGTATATTTGTACACTGTGTATATTACAGAGAAAGCGTTCCTGGAAAAGGGACTGTGTGCTGAATTCGTGATTTTCGTAATGCTAATAGAATGGGCTTTGTTTCCATATTGAGCTGGTTATTCACGCTTTTACCTGCCAAGAACCATTCTTCTGTGGTCTGTTTTTCCTTGTAGAAGCTGACCTCTATCAACTGCGTGATCTGGGCTCCTTTGTCCTCTGGCTTCTGGTTGGATTTGGACAGTGGGCTAAGAGGAATCTGGGAGAGCAGAATAAGAGGAAAAAAGGGAAGAAAAGATAGTCAGGGTATTTATTTGCCCTGCTCTCTCTGGTCCAGTGCATACCTGGCAGTGGCTTCATTTTTCAGTAGCCACAGCTCCTGTCAGGCGGGCCCTCTTCCACAGCTGTGGATTATATTGGACCACGGTGACAACATTCCCTCCACTTGACCCTTTACACTGAGGCGTGGTATGGATTTCCTATTCATGCTAGTTCCTGATGCTTCATCATATTTTATGAATTCTCTTCACTTGTCCACATTTCTGTAAATAGTCTCTTCATTAAATCCTCCTCTGATGAACTCTCCTGAGTGTGCCATCTCTTTTCCTGTGGATAACCCTCCTTCACATACCTGCTTGGGACCAGATTTCATTCTTGCTCTTGACTTCCATGAAATGGCCCTGTGAAACAATAATGGACTCCCTTTCTGCTTACATCAGCTCAGGTTGGGTTTTGTTTTCACTTCATCAAGAGGGAAATATAATAATAAAGTTTACTGCTCATTATGTTATGGAAGCTGGACACTTAAGATTGCCTACTGCATTAGGCGTGGCTTCAGCTACACAAAGATGACCAGATAGTTTGTTTCTCCCAAATGAAGTAATTTAAAAACTTACCCTAGGTTAATTCAAGAATGTGTGTGTGTGTACATGTGCATGTGTGTGATATATACACACGTATCTCTGTCTCTAATAATATACATATAATATGTATAATATATATATATGAAAAAGCCTAATTCAAATAGGGACATATTTTTACTATGTGATGATAGCACAGCCTTAGAATTTGTTACAAAATTAATTTAGTTATTTTGGGAAGGGTTTTCCAGAGAGATCCTCTGTTTTGCAATTATGGCAAGTAGGAAATAGTGCTTTGCTCCCTCAGTCTACTGATTCAAATGCTCACCTCTTCCAGAATACCCCCACAGACAAACCCAGAAATAATGTTTACCAGTTATATTGGCATGCCTTAGCCCAGTTAAGTTGACACATAAAATTAACCATCATAGTTTAATTTTTGTAGAGGAGGGCATTTACTAATGTATTTTAAGCTAAAACAATACTTGGCACAAAGCAGGCACTCAATAATTATTTGTTAAATATGAATAAATAAAAGCACGAATGAGTTCATAATCAGGTTGAAGGTCTACGTTACATTTACATTTACATTTTTTAGGTTGTGAGGATAGTCACGGAGCCTCTTTCCCAAGTATAGCAGCCCTTTGGGTAGCAGTCCGTACGGGGTCACCAGTGGAAAAGAAGGTCGATCTTACACGGGTCATAGGAATGTCACCTTGATTGCCTACTATCATTAGACAAGGTAACCTGAATTTACTTCATCAGGGGCATTTCTTTCCTATTTCTACTTTCCACTGAAATTGAAGCACTACAGCTGCTCATATCTCACTTCTTTTTTGGGGGAAATTCTTAGAGTAGGGTGTGTATAGGGAGAAAATTTTTCCCACTTTGAACCCATGTAGTCTTCCTGCCTCAAGTGTTTCTTTTTTTTTCTTTTTTCTTTTTTTTAAAGATTTTATTGGGGGAGGGGAACAACATTGGGGAATTGGGGAAGGGGGACAGACAAGTTGCTGTCCTTTTGTTCTTCAGTCTGGTTGTGGAGGACGTTGCTTCACTGGCCCATGTTGGTATTATCATTGTGCTCTTCCTAGGTGAAGCAGATCAGACAGCGGCTCTTGGCAGCTCACGCTG